AAGTGTTGGCTTTTCTGTATAATTGTTTATCTTTAGCCCAGTTCATTAGTTTGCTGAGGCTGCCATAAGAAAATATTATGGACTGGGTGGTTTAAACAACTGAAATTTATATTCTTACAGTTCTGGAGGCTGGAATTCCCAGATCGGGTTGTCTGCAGACTTGGATTCTCCATAGGACTGTTTTCATGACTTGTAGATGACCACCTTCTTATTGTTTCTTCACGTGGCCTTTCCTCATGCTAGCATACTCTAAATGTTTCTTTCTTTTCTTATAATGACATAACTCTTATTGGATAAGGGCCCCATCTTTATGACCTCATTTAACCATTTTTACCTTCTTAAAGGCTCTATCTCCAAATACAGTGGTATCAGAATTTAGGGCTTTTAATTAGGGGGAGGGCATAATTCAGTATAAGACATGTAGTTAGAAGAGAATTCTATTTGTCTCAAGTAAGAACATGGTACATTATTATGTACTAAATTCAATTTTATTAAATTAGTATTTAACATTCATTCTATGATAAAACATGTAAATTACATTTTCTGGCACCTAAAACGTCCACAGAAACAGTAACTATTTGTTTTTATTAGCTTTCTAATGCATAAAAGAGAGAAAGGAATGAGAAATGGAAACTGTGTATTTGTGTGTGTGTGTGGGGGGGGGGGGGAGAGAGAGAGATTCCAGGCTTAGAAGTTAAATACTGTTGGAAAAGAATACAGCCATATGAAATGAAACGAAACATACTATATAAGCTAGCGTTATAAGATGAATTATAGGTAATGTTACTAAGAAATGCTTGTGGACAGGAATTTGGGAGAAGAATTCATGACGAATTGAGTTTGTAAAGGGCCTTGAATAAGAAACCCAGTGATAACTCCAGAGAAAGAAATTAGCATGAACAAAGGCACAGGGGTGGGGAAGGGTATGAAGTATTACAGGTGTTTAATCCTACACTCCCTCCACTCCTCCATAGCCAAGAACAGGCAGAGACACAGCACTCAGCCTGCAAGCTATTAAATGTTTCATAGTCATTGCTAAGCTGAGATATTCCGGATAAGTTATTATTTAGGATTTCAAAAACATGTCTTCCATAGTGTTAAACCAGCATGTATTTCTGATTCATGTTTATCTATACTCCCTTGTAAATTCATCACCAGTACATCTGTAGTAAATTCAGTTACATGTAGGTAAATGCAAGAGAGAAAAGCAATCTATCTAGATAAAGTTACGAATCTTTTAAGAGACTGCTAATAATCAGATATCAGAAATGTGGAGTAAGGCCAGGTACATATTTTGTAAGGATTGCTTTCCAAATAATGTCTGCATTTATATTTCAAATACCACATTCAACTTTTGTCAGGTTTTCCAAAAATAAATACAGAGCATTTAAGGAAAATTATACACAAACACACACACACACACATACTCTCACACACACATATATTCATATGCATACATAAACATGTACAAATAACTTTAATTTTGGTAGTTTTGTATTAAAATTACCCATGAGTTAAAATGAGAGGTTAACATTGAACCCTTGCAATTTATACTAGAGAAAATGGAGAGAATATATACCTTGTATAGATGCTGATCATTTCCATATATTAGATAAATGGTTACCTTAAAGATGCCCATTACCTTTTTTGTATACACCTTATTCTTAGATTATTTGATATGGTAACATACCAGAAGGGCTAGGGTATTCCAGCATGTAATTCTGTGTTTAGACCATAACAATTGTACCAGGACCATCCATCTGGCCTGTACTGGAAAAATATGATTGTTTTTTCTTCAGGAATTTTGGATTTTAGGCACAGACTGAACTAGTTAAAAGGCGTAGGACACCTAAACTTGGGTTGTAAGATCAAATAGATGTGGGCCACAGATGGTACCTGTGACAACACCAAACCATCAGTGAAATCAAAATGAAGATCCCTATTCAGAAAGCTTGTTTACAGAGAGATGAGTTGATTGTGCATATACAGAAAAAAAGAAAGCATGAACCTAGAAAATAGTGTAAGAATCACGCTTATAGTCTAATTGGAAGTCTGGTCATAATCTTTGAAAACCATTTTCTTTGTCCTTGCAATAACTTCAACTCATAGGCAAGCTTGAATATTCTGTTTTTTATAATTAAAGTCTCTGACTAGGATAAACATTTTCAGTCTTGTTTATATGTGCTTTTGGATCTCCATGACTACTCTAGAAATGAAGTTGTTTACTTTGCTTAGAAAGCAGTAAAGAATTTGCCTATTATATGAGACATAAGCTACAATATATATATTCTTAAAAGATACGGAATGGACAGAACAAACATTTAAAGTTGGCAATCATTCATTGCGCACATTCAGTGTTGTGAAATTATATAATTTATGGTATTACGGTTTTTAATCCCACCGTAAACCTACCCATATAAAAACTGCTTCAAGTCAACACAGTATAAGGAAGTTATTATATAATGTATTAACATATATCACAACTATATAATAATGATTAATTCATGCATAAGTATTAAATAATATTATTTCTTCCATTAAATCACTTTCAGTCATAGTTTACTAGGAAGAAAATAGTTAAAATGACAACTACCTATAGCATAATTGGTATCAATTTTGCTAGTTGGCTTAATATAAATTTCCATCTCATTTTTGTTGAATCAAGTTTTATTTAACTATTTAACTAGTGTGGGTAAAAGTAGGTGTACACATTTATGGCACATAGAAGATGTTTTGATATAGGCATGCAATGCGTAAAAATCACATCATGGAGAAAGGGATATCCATCCCCTCAAACATTTATCTTTTAGTAACAAATAATCCAATTATATTCTTAAATTTAAAAGTACAATTACATTATTATTGACTATAGTCATCCCATTACACTTTCAAACAGTAGATATTAATCATTCTTTGTAACTATTTTTTTTTGGACCCATTAACCATCCTTACCTTCCCCAATCCCCTCACTACCTTTTGCAGATTATGGTAACAATCCTTTTATCTCTATCTTCATGAGTTCAATTATGATTGAAATTTGATTTTTAGATACCACGATTAAGTGAGAATATGTGACGTCTGTCTGTTTGTGCCTGGCTTATTTTACTTAACATAATGATCGCCAGCTCCACTCATGTCTTTGCTAATGGCAGGATCTCATACCTTCTATTCTTGAATAGTTCTCCACTGTGTATATGTACTACATTTCCTTTAACCTTTAGTATGTTGATGAGCACTTAGGTTGCTTTCAAATCTTAGCTACTATCAACAGTCCTGCAACAAACATCTGAGTGCAGATGGATCTCTGATATACCAATTTTTTTATTTGGATTACGTACCCAGGAGTGCGATTGCTGGATCGTATGACAGCTCTATTTTAAGTTTATCGAGGAACCTCTAAACCATTCTCCTTAGTGGTTGTACTGACTTACATTTCCAACAACAGTGTATGAGGGCTCCCTTTTCTCCACATCTTCACCAGCATTTGTTATTAGTTGCCTTTTGGATATAAGCTATTTTAACTGAGATGAGATGGTATATTATTGTAGCTCTGATTTGCATTTTTCTGATGAGCAATAATATTGAGCACCTTTACTTTTCTTTTTTTTTTTTTTTTACCAAATGTCGTTGTAGCCAAAGTCAGAATATTCACCTATTATACTTTTTCTTTTCATTTTTAATGATTAGCAGCCCTATTTTTCCCTTTCCAACCTCAACCCTCAAAGCCACCCAAAGAATATGTTTTCATCCTCCTTGGACATCAGTTTCGACTTGCAAAGCTTTGCAATCAGTTTTCACTTGTACAGCATTTATGAATAATTAAGCTACACAGAGCAGACATGTTGATTAGGGTGGACTTGGATGTTACAATGAATTCTCACTTATTTGATTGAGTAGAATTTTGTACTTTCTTACGAACTGGGTTAAGTAAAATTAATGACTAAGTATAAGCCTTCTTTATATAACTCAAGACTTATATCACAAAAACACATTTTTTTTAGTCATTACATTTATTAAACACAATTTTTGAGGCTTCCATCACTTGCGTTTAGACACTTGAAAATTCCATTTTTTTTCAATGTTTTCTGCATTTTATTTAATAAAGCTAGGCCATAAAATATTTGTAACTTAAATCTCCTCTATATGCTGTATATTCATATAACCTTGTTAGCCTGAAGTAGATGCTTGCTAGCAAGTTTTTCCATGGCTCCTTTTCAAAATCCTTAGTTATATTCTCCTTTTTACATTAGGATTGTATCTAAAAACATCATCAGCAAGAGACTCTTCTTTTGCATGTTGATTTTGTACCTCCATTTCCTGCCTTAGCCAGTCTTCTAGTTCTTCATTCTTTCGAGCATGAGGAGCTATTAGATCTGATCCTCCAATGATGTGTGGAAGTTTTCCTGCTCCAGGATATGTGACCTTTTTGAATTTCTTGAAATTTCTTAGTTGACCATAATCATCACTTATTCCAGATAGATTTCTGGAAGTAGAGTTTTTAATCGCCAGTGATTTAAATTCAGTCAATAACAGCTTTCTTGGAAGCATCTCACTTTCATCCTGAAGTTTGTCATTGTTAGATATTTTGCTACTTTCTGGTACTGCTTCATCACTGAAAGTGTCATTTGTTTCTATATCCATCCTTGGCCTTTTCCTAATATTGACATCTTCCTCCTGTTTTTGAACTTTCACATCAATTTCTAACTCTGGTTTTGTGTCCTTGAATAACTGTTCCATTACTTCATCTTCTATGGCCACATCATCCATTTCTCTTTTTTTATTTGATCTTAGCTTTTCTGCAGAATGAGATTTATTGGCAGAATTTTTCACACTGGATTCTAAATTTGTATCTGTAAATAAGTTATCTGACTTTTTGTCCACAGGCTCATTCTGAGATAGATGCTGCTCCTTATTTTTCCATAGTGGGGGTGTAGCAGGTTGTGTTTGTTCTAAAAGAGAACAAGATATTTCTATTCTTGCTGAGTTGCATGAATACAGAGGGGGACACGCTCAAGACCAGCAACCCTCTAGTCTTAGAAGAGGCATCAGCCAGCCAGGCAGGCAGCAGAAAGGAGAGTCGATTGGAATCATCTGGCAAGAACAAATCCTATGATGTGCGAATTGAGAACTTCGATGTGTCTTTCGGCGACAGAGTACTGCTGGCTGGAGCTGATGTGAACCTGGCATGGGGCCGCCGTTACTGGCTGGTGGGGCGGAATGGGCTGGGGAAGACCCCGTTACTGAAGATGCTGGCCACCCCGAGTCTGCGGGTTCCAGCCCACATTTCCTTGCTGCATGTTGAGCAAGAGGTTGCTGGAGATGACACCCCTGCCCTACAGAGTGTGCTGGAGAGTGACAGTGTGCGGGAGGGCCTGTTACGGCGGGAGGGGGAACTCAGCGTCCAGATTGCTGCTGGCAGGGCGGAGGGCTCTTAAGCCACAGAACTGGCAGAAATCTATGCCAAACTGGAGGAGATTGAGGCCGACAAGGCACCTGCCAGAGCATCAGTCATTCTCGCTGGGCTTGGCTTTACCCCTAAAATGCAGCAGCAGCCCACCCGGGAGTTCTCGGGTGGCTGGAGGATGAGGCTGGCCCTGGCCTGGGCCCTATTTGATAGACCAGATCTGCTGCTGTTAGATGAACCTACAAACATGCTGGATGTCAGGGCCATCCTGTGGCTGGATAATTACCTGCAGATATGGCCCTCCACAATCCTGGTCGTCTCTCACGACCGCAACTTCCTGAATGCCATCGCCACAGACATCATCCACGTGCATAGCCAGCAGCTAGATGGTTACCGGGGAGACTTTGAGACCTTCATCAAGAGTAAGCAGGAGCGGCTGCTCAACCAGCAGCGGCTGCTCAACCAGCAGCGGGAATATGAGGCCCAGCAGCAGTATCACCAGCACATCCAGGTTTTCATTGACCGGTTTCGCTACAATGCCAACAGGGCCTCTCAAGTGCAGAGTAAACTCAAGATGCTGGAGAAGCTACCTGAGCTGAAGCCTGTGGACAAGGAATCAGAGGTGGTAATGAAGTTCCCTGATGGGTTTGAGAAGTTCTCGCCACCAATTCTGCAGCTAGATGAGGTGGATTTCTACTATGATCCGAAGCACGTCATCTTCAGTCGCCTCTCCGTGTCTGTTGATCTCGAGTCCCGCATCTGTGTGGTTGGAGAGAATGGGGTCGGGAAGTCTACCATGCTGAAGCTGCTTATGCGGGACCTGGCATCTGTTCGGGGCATCAGACATGCTCACAGGAATCTGAAAATTGGCTATTTCAGCCAGCACCACGTGGAGCAGCTGGATCTAAACGTCAGTGCTGTGGAGCTGCTGGCACGCAAGTTTCCTGGGCGGCCTGAGGAGGAGTACCGCCACCAGCTGGGTCGGTATGGCATCTCCGGAGAACTGGCCATGCGCCCTGTCGCCAGCTTGTCTGGGGGCCAGAAGAGCCGAGTGGCGCTTGCTCAGATGACCGTGCCCTGCCCCAACTTCTACATTCTGGATGAACCCACAAACCACCTGGAAATGGAGACCATTGAGGCTCTGGGCCGTGCCCTCAACAATTTCAGAGGCAGCGTGATTCTGGTGTCCCACGATGAGCGCTTCATCAGGCTGGTGTGCCAGGAGTTGTGGGTGTGTGAGGGAGGCGGCGTCACCCGCGTGGAAGGAGGATTTGACCAGTACCGCGCCCTCCTCCAGGAGCAGTTCCGCCGTGAAGGTTTCCTCTAGGGCCACCAGGCTTAGGACTTGCCTAATTTTTTTTTTAATTGCATTTTAGGTTTGGGGATACATGTGAATAGCATGCATAATTGTTGCATAGGTACACACATAGGGCTACCACGTAGGCAACCAACTCCAGGCCATGAACTTCCCCCGACTTGGGGACAGCCTTATTCCCAAATGTCTCTCTCCTTTTGACTGGAGCATCTTCTGCACAACCTTGGGAGCCCATACAAGGGTTGGTGAGGACTGGTCTCCCAGGGGCCGGGGTCTGGGGCGGTGCCCTCCGGGGTTATAGATTCCCCCACTGCCCCAGCTCTGACTGGACCCCAAGTGGCTATGTAAATTAAATCTCTCCCTGCAAAAAAAAAAAAAAAAAAAAAAAAAAAAAGGAGCCGCTAGAGCCGGGCCTCGAAGCGCTTCCCCAGGGCCTTCTGCGCCTGGGATTTGCGGGGATCTCGCCATGCGCTTTCTTGAGGTACGGCAAAATCCACCGGCGCGGGTCTCAGTGGTAAACCTGCCGCCGCCTAGTGGGTGACCTTGGCTCACGGCCTCTCTTCAGCTGCCTTGCCCAGTCACGTCCCCTGTTAAGCACCCTTGCCATCTGTCTCCTGGCATTTTGATAGGCCTCTCTGAACGCGTTTTGAGTCCTCCGCAGCCCCTCTCCCTCCCGCCGCAGCGGCTCGGGTACTGTGGTCCCTTTTCCGTAACTCCTGCCTCTCCTCCCCATCCCTCTCATTCGCCCTCACGCCCCGACCTGGGACGTCCTCCCACTTGAGGGTGCTTGTAGTTCGCGGAGTGTCCTCATCTAAGTCTGGGAACGCGGCAGATCCTGAATTTTCCAAACGGCCTGAGACACAGGACATCTCATCTGTGAGAGACTGGATACTGCACCTACTGTGCTAAAAATATAATCTGGTGTTTCGAGTTTCATTATTCAAAGTAACCTAAATAGGGCCAAGGTATTAATACTAACATTACATATATTCCTCTCCAGATTTCTGTATGGTCACACTCCTTTGCACACAGACTTCTTTTTTTTTTTTTTCTGTCAACCCTGTGTATATCACGTTTTGTTTTTGTTTTTTTACTTGTCTTTGTTTTTTCTGCTTCTCGAATTTAAACCAGATCTTCCCGACATACACTCTGCTTTCTAAATGCTTAGGGGGAAAACTCCAATTCTGGAGTTGTTAACATTGTTGACATTTACTGCCATGAGTGGGTAGATTTTCTGTTTTGGTCAGCTTCAATAGGAAGTATAACAATCAAACACAAAGCGGTGCCTGAACTCTTCTCCTGCTTGAGAAGGATTGGCCGGGCAACAAGAAGGAGCTGTTCTCCTCAGGTCTCAGGATACAAGCAAATAGTGATAAATATATCGTCAAACATGAGAAAGAGGAGTCACTTCCATTAATCTCATGCTTTTGTTGATGGCAGAACACAAAACTCTGCATGCATTGTTTCCTAAATCCTCAAAGACATTCTATTACGCAAAAAAAAAGCCTCATCAAACCTAGCTTTCTTTGCTTTCCTGTTAAGCCACCAGTGACTGCATAGGATGAATTTGGATGATGTTATTTGCTGGTTGCTAGGTTCCCTCCCATTCCCTCTTGTCACCATTTTCATATGTTCCTTGCTTTTTGCTCCTGCTGCATTTCCTTTGTTGGGATGCCTGATGAGTATTTGAGATCCTTGTGTCAGATTTACAAGAGCCTAGGTTACCTTTAGTGCTTCAAGACAATAGAAACCGACAGAAATTCATCTAAATCCCCTCCCGGAAAACTAAGGAGACACATCTGTTGGAAGATACAGTAGTCTTTCATCAACTCTCTCTATTGAAAGCAGGTTAGTATCAAAAGATAATTTATTAAAACTGAATCAAATTTTTCCAATGCCCACAATGGCTCTTCCAAAATTCATCAGTTTCCTCAAGCATCCAACCTTATATCTCCCTGCCTCTGGAGAAAGCCTTGTTGCTACTGCTTCTTTTTTTTTTTAACCTCCAAATGGTATGCATTTTTTTTTTAGATACATCATCTTTTATTTTTCCATCTCCCTTCTCTTCTTTTTTTTTTTTTAAATTGCATTTTAGGTTTGGGGATACATATGAATAACATGCAAAATTGTTGCATAGGTACACACACGGCAGTGTGATTTGCTGCCTTCCTCCCCATCACCTGTATCTGGCATTTCTCCCCATGCTATCTCTCCCCAACTCCCCCCCCCCCCCCGTCCCCCCCCCCCTCCCCCCCCCCCCACCCCCTCGTGCAATACCACACAACCAAAGACCGTGTGTTCTCACTGTTCAACACCCACCTATGAGTGAGAACATGCGGTGTTTGATTTTCTGTTCTTGTGTCAGTTTGCTGAGAATGATGGTTTCCAGGTTCATCCATGTCCCTACAAAGGACATGAACTCATCGTTTTTGATGGCTGCATAGTATTCCATTGTGTATATGTGCCACATTTTCCATGTCCTGTCTATCATTGATGGGCATTTGGGTTAGTTCCAGGTCTTTGCTATTGTAAAGAGTGCTGCAATGAACATTCGTGTGCATGTGTCCTTATAGCAGAACTATTTATAATCCTTTGGATATATACCCAGTAATGGGATTGCTGGGTCAAATGGAATTTCTATTTCTAGGTCCTTGAGGAATCGCCACACTGTCTTCCACAACGGTTGAACTAATTTAAAAGTGTTCCTATTTCTCCACATCCTCTCCAGCATCTGTTGTCTCTAGATTTTTTAATGATCGCCATTCTAACCAGCGTGAGATGGTATCTCAATGTAGTTTTGATTTGCATTTCTCTAATGACCAGTGACGATGCGCATTTTTTCATATTTGTTGGCTTCATGTATGTCTTCTTTTGTAAAGCACCTTTTCATATTTTTATTAGTCTGTTCTCACACTGCTATAAAGAAATACCTAAGACTAGGTAATTTATAAAGGAAAGAGGTTTAGTTGGCTCACGGTTCCACAGGCTTTACATGACATATAGTGATATCTGCTTCTGGGAAGACCTCAGGAAGTTTCCAATCATGACAGAAGGCAAAGGTGGACCAGTTGTCTCACACAGTGGGAGTAGGAGCAAGAAAAATGGTGGCAGGAGGTGCCACGCACTTGTAAGCAACCAGATCTTGTGAGAACTCACTATCGTGAGGTCAGTACCAAAGGGGATGGTGCTAAACCACTCATAAGAAACCACCCCTATGATCAAATCACCTCACACCAGGCCCTACCTCCAACACTGGGAATTACAATTCAACATGAGATTTGGTGGGCACACAGTTCCAAACCATATCAGTTTAGTTGTTGGATATTTGTATATCTTCTTTTGAGAAATATGTATTCAAATTTCTTTTCTTGGTTTCTGATCAGATTATCAGATTTTTTTCTATATAATTATTTGAGCTCCTTATATGTTCTGATTATTAATGTCTTATCAGATGGGTACATTGCAAATATTTTCTCCCATTTTGTGGGTTGCCTCTTCAGTTTGTTAATTGCTACCTTTGCTGTGCAGACTTGATGTGATCCCATTTGTTCTCTTTTGTTTGTTTGCCTGTGCTTGCGGGGTATGACTCAAAAAGTTTTGCTCAAAATAATGACCTGAAGAGTTTCCTGAATATTTTCTTATAGCAGCTTTATAGTTTCAGATCTTATAGTTTTAAATCTTTAATCCACTTTGACTTGTTTTTTGTGTATGGCAAGATATAGGGCTCTAGTCTCATTCCTCTGCATATAGATATCCAGTTTTCCTAGAACCATTTATTGAACAAATTGTCTTTTTCCCAGTGTATGCTCTTGGCATCTTTGTCAAAAATGAGTTCACTCTAGGTGTGTGGATTTTTGGGGTTCTCTATTTTGTTCCATTTGGGCTATGTGTCTGTTTTTATACTGGTACCATGTTGTTCTGGTTAACAGAGCTCTGTAGTAAAATTTGAAGCCAGGTGATATGATTCCTTTAGTTTTGTTCTATTTGCTTAATATATCTTTGGTGATTCTGGGACTTTTATAGTTTCATATAAATTTTAGGATTTTTTTCAATTTCTGTGAAGAATGTCATTGGTATTTTGATAGAGATTCCATTTAGTACATTGCTTTGTATAGTTTGAACATTTTAATAATATTAATTCTTCCAATCCATGAACCTGGAATGTCTTTGCATTTTTTGGTGTAATTTTCAACTTCTTTTATGAGTATTTTACAGTTTTTGTTGTAGAGTATTTGCACTTCTTGCTTAAATCCTAGGTATTAAATTGTATTTGTGGCTATTTTTAATGGAATTGCTTCTTAAATTTCCTTTTCAGGCTGCTCACTGTTGGCATATAGAAATGTCACTGATTTTTTAATGCTAATTTTGTATCCTACAATTTTACTGAATTTGTTTATCAGTTATAATATTTTTTTTTGGTGAAGTCTTTAGGTTTGTCCAAATACAAGATCCTATCATCTGCAAACAAGCATAATTTGACTTCTCTCCAAATTAGTTGCCTTTCATTAGCTTCTGTTGTGTGATTACTCTTGCTAGGACTTCCAGTACTATGTTGAATAACAGTGGTAAAAGAGGGCATCCTTGTGTTCCCCATCTTAGTTTTAGAAAAGTCTTTCAAGTTTCCCCATTCAGTATGATACTAGCTCTCTCATATGTGGCTTTTATTATATTGATTTATGTTCCTTCTATACCCAGGTTTTTGAGGGGTTTTATCATAAAGAGATGTTAAATGTTATCAGATGATTTTTCAGCCTAAGTTGAAATGATCATGTTTCATGCCCTGCATTCTGCTGATATAATGAATCACATTGGTTGATTTGTGTATGTTGAACCACCCCTGAATCTCAGAGATGAATCACACTTTGTTATAATTAATGATCTTGTTAATTTGTTGTTGAAGTCTGTTTGCTAGTATTATTTTGAGTATTTTTGCATCAATATTATTCAGAGATATTTGCCTGTATATTTCTTTTTCTTTTTTTTTGATGTGTTTCCTTTTGGTATCAAGGTTATACTGGCCTCATACAATGA